TATATACAGCACAGACGCTCCCCCAACCTACGAAAAGGTAATCAATTGTTGCATAGTTTAAAAAAAAAAAAAATCTTAAAATTATAATAAGAAATAGTTTCAGACTACAGTTTTTATAAGAATATTTTTTCATTTAATAAAGTAAGTAACATATTTGGCACATGAGTAGTTTAATTCTACTCGTTTTTATTAGAGAAGCTTGTGACTAAAGAAATGGTATTTGGATCATAAATTTCAAAGACATATCAAGTTAGAAACAGTTACATATATTTAGATCTCAATATATGTTTGTAAATAGATACACCTATTATTTTCTTCAACATAATATCTTTATTTAACAGAGAAGAGTGGTGATAATAAGAAAATTAAATTAGTTGTTGATGGAGATGATTATGAAGGTAACAAACATTCATATCATATCAGCATATGCTCACATGCATGTTCGAGCATACATCTACTTCAGGTGGCAACAAAAAGAATCATGGCAACCAACATATAACTGATCAGCGAAATTCTAGATTTTATTGGAAGTCTCATCATCCATTGGCCGAAGTATCTATAGACCCAAATCATTGCAATATAGCTAATATCCACACACGCAGCCGTGTTTACTACAAGTAAGAGCATCTAAAAAAACTATCAAACGCTAAGATATCTACAATATGTAGCTTACAGCTTGGATAAGTATTTTGTTAGCCATAAACAAAACATGGAGTGATTAGGGCTAAATACAGCTTTATAATAACCTTGTGTCATCTACGTTAAATGGTCTTATTATTTTCCAGTAGATATTACTATTTCTGGATTTTTTACTATTCTGATATTGTAATTTTACTATTTCAGAAATTTCAAACATAATGTTTATCGTAATGACACAAATGTTTATCTTAAACATCCATTATACATATATACTTAAATATAGATGATCTAATTCAAAACACATAACAAACAAAAACTTTGGAACTACCGAAAAATTGATATCAAACTACCCTGCACCTGCAGTTCGTATAACTCGAATTCGGGTTTTTATTTGAAAGTCTCATCCTCCAATGGCCAAATGATACGGACAAAAGTATACCCACCAATTTTGATATGATGATTTCAACAGTAAAAAATTAGAATAATAAACGAGGATAACTTTTAAAATTGTGTGTTAACGAAAAAAAAATCCGAGTTGGACAGTAATGCGATCTACATGTATTTCATGCTTACACTGAAATTATGATATTAATTATGAAAAGAATAAAATACTATTGATGAAACATAGGATACCCTTAGTAGTTAAGCTTAGACAAGCGTGGATTAGCTAGCTTTTAACAAAATTATTAAGCGAATACTAGTTATGGAAACCAGATAATCCACATAAGTAGTTTTGTATTGTATTATCAAATATCATGGTGTAAGTGATACAGATATATAAGAATATACCATGAAACACCAATGCATGTGTTAGGCAATAATCCCAACAAAATGTACTCCAATAAAAATAATGCATATGTATGTTGTATAAATAATTGTCATTTCTATGTAGTTACAAAAACTAAGGAATTGTCTTCATTATAATTCATGCAAAATATAAGCACTTACAAGTTCTATTTACACATAATTTTTTTTTCGCACATTATAGATCCATATGTATTCACACTTTTGAGGATAGCGAATTTTTCTGTCTAATTTATTTCGTGTAAACAAATATCTTGTGGCTTGTGGTTCCTACTAAGCTTGGCACTTTCTATGTTATAATTATCAAAAATGGGATTCAAAATTATGTGGATTTAAAGATAGGTGCATCTAAAAAGAATATTCCGTACTTCTTAATTTATCTAGTATCTATACATTCCATGTTCTCCTGGCACAACCCAACAAACCATCAAACTTAAATCCATGTCTTGAATAAATCAGACGTCATTTTAATTAATACCGTAACTAATTAAATATTAAAGTATGTTTGCAGACTGGTAAAACTGTAAGAGACTATGATCTTTTTGTAGTACACCTTCAGCTTTGGCCTTTGGATCTTGGATAGCTGGTTTGGTCTACTTCGTAAAGTTTTTTTGCACAGAAAAAAAGGAAGTCTGCGAAAATGATGTAAACACACATCATTAGCTGGTAATTGCATATATTTTTCCAATCTCCACACATTTCCTCTTTTGTCTATTTTTAGTTGGGTCCATTCACAATCATAATCATACATTACATTCTGAGCATTGTATTATGTTTTGTATGTCTCCAGTGGAACAAACAATGTGAAATGCGTTAAAAAAAAACAGAGTAATTGTGTTTGGTGTTGGCTTTGCTAACTATGCAAATGGTTCTATCAAAATCTTATACACTAAAATTAAAACAGGTCGTAGAACTTACTGAATTTATTAATAAATTATTTGGATTAATCATAATATTATGCCTCTGAATAAAACAACTTAACATTCACATGACATTTTCAAAGCAACTAGTTCATGGTTAAAGAGAACTTATTACAAATGTATAATGTAACTAGATATGTCTTCTTATATATTATGCATGTTTGTTTGGTTAAGTGAAAAATAGCCGGTTTTGTTGAACCGAGATTTAGTAATTTGGTGAGTCCCCCATCCTCAGTTTGGCGGTCTCGAGAACTGTTTTCGAATAATCCGTCGGTGTTAAGTTTGTTAACAGAATAATCCGTTATCGAAATTTAACGGCGTTAACATTGACTGTGTGCTTAGCTGGCAGACGCATCTGTGAGGTTAAGAACCAGCTGGCGTGATCAGCATTTGCGTTTCATCTCCATTTCGGCCCTACATTTCTTCTTCTTTTTTTTTTTTTTGTCAGCAACTTCTTCTTTTTTTCTTATAATCTTTTGATTGCCTCTATATATTTTCTGTTATTTTCTTATCTTTTTTTATTTGTTTTTTCTTTTTGACCAATTTTTATATTTTGCTCATCCCGTAAATTTTGAGTTTTCGTTTGAAAATTATTCGAGAACAAAAAAAGAAAAAAAAGAAAATTATTTGAGATTGAGAGGCTTGACCTTGAGTAATTAGTACTAATAAAGTCGTGCATAATGCTTGGTTCTTTCACAAAAAAAACAAAGGCTTAGTTCAGTGTATGTAATTAGTGGTTCCGTAGGTCCGAATGGTACGTGATATATGGAACTGTGCGATGGTCTACAAAATTAATAATGAGACTGTAGTACAAGAAAGTGGTTATGAGTATTAACTAGTTTTGTTTAATGGATCGTAAATAATTAAATAGTAATCCCCAAAAAAAAAAAAAAGAGAACTATGACAGGCTTTTCATGGATACCCGTTAACAAAAATAAATAAATTGCCAGCTCTGCATTAGATAGTTAATTTCCATTTTATAAATTTTTTTTGAACACTTCATTCTGTTGTTCTTTTATTTCGGTAAACCACTTTTTTCTCTCTTCTCAACACGCAATAAGAAAATGCCTGAAATATTCATTACCTTCATTTAAATATGAACAGGCTATTCTCACACAATATTGCTTTCTAATGCTAATAGTATTAAGTTAATTACAATAAATATGGTGCTCTTTTTTTTTGTACAACCAATAAATATGGTGCCTTGAAGAAAAGTTCTGCTGGCTTGATTAATAATTTAATACATCTACTTTGGAAAACAAATTTATCCTTCGATAGTGTTATTTTCTCATGTAAACCTTTTATAACTATTTTCTCCTTTCAAATATTTAAAAATTTTAATAACCAATAGTTATTGAATTATTTTCAAATACTCTTTTATTTGTTCATTCAACCCTTTTGTTTGCGAAGCACTCGATTGTTATTACTTTATAGAATGTTATTACTTGTGGGGATTTCCTTATACACTAGATAATATATGAATGTCTTAGTTAAAACCTTGAGTTTTAATCAGTTGCTTGGTAAACTAAGTGCTACAATTCTGTACAGCGGCCCTATGAGTGAATTTTCCATAAAAAAAAAAGCAACCACATTTTTTAAGTGATAGTAATACGTACATATTTTTGCATTGAAAGTCTTACCTCCTACATAGGTTTAGTGCTAAATTCTACTAACAACCTGCTTATGCTATTCTATACTAATAATTTGTAATTTGTTGTAAGAAAATTAAATCTGATAAGATTAACATTTTGGGAAACATGAGTGAACGTGCATGAATCTGCGTGCCTTGACATTTTAGGCAAAAAGAATTAAATCATGTACTAAGAGCATGTTTAATGGAGATTGCTTAGAGAGTTGCTTAGGAGGAGAGGAGTGTTTAATTTGAAGAGAGAGAGTTGCTTAAGAGGAGAGAAGTTGCTTAATTAAGCACTTTTTACACTCTCTCTCTTCAAATTAAGCATCCCTCTCTTCCTAAGCAATTTTCTAAGCAACATGTATTAAATATGCTCTAATATCACATCAGAGGCTATTTATATGGAACATAAATTAGGATTAGAGATAAACATATTTAATGTAGTACATAGATATTTCGTTTTCCTCAACACGAAGCAATGTATGATAATAAATATTCCAATTTGGTATCTAAAAATAAAGATAATGAAATCCATAACATAGCCGGAAAGTCTAATTAAGTTTGTTTTCTTCGAACAGTGTGTTCAAAACTCAAAAAGTCAACTATTTTAGTCTGGTTTAAATAAAAAATGTACTACTAATAAATAAGAAATTAAAACGCAATAAATCACTGTAATTTGTCTTTTTTTAACGACAAGCAGCCGTGAGGACACGGGAGTAAAGAGAGAGAGAGACTCGTGATGAACATCAGAAGAAGAAGATCAATGTCCTAATCTCAGATCAAGGTTAATTACATTTATTATTTTTATTTTATTTTCTTTCCATCTTCATTCTTTGCTTCTTCCTTTTCTATTTATCACGAGATCTGTCTTTATATTTATTTTCTCTTTCTCTCTCTCTCTCTGGACAGTACTTGTTTTCTCTTTTAGCTTCTGCGTTGAGTTTCTGACTTCTTCCTCTTCTTCGAAGCTGAGTAGAAAGCCATTAAGATCACAGAGTACGAGGATGTCTCATTCCAGAAGACTTTCTTTAGAACCTGCCATAGACTCAGTTTCAAGAAAGTTCCGTGACTCTTTAACTCTACAAAGACACGACAACAAACCAGACTTCCGAGAACTCGATCTCGGCTCTCCCGTCTCCACCTTAATGCCACGTGTCTCCTCCTCCTCCGCCTCCTCAGCTGCAGCCACTCCCACCAGCAGCTCCGGCTCCTCAGGCTCCGCTTCCGGAAAACCGTCGGTGACTTCTCACATCGGTAAATCCCACTCCGGGGAGATTCCCGGTTCACCCGGATCCGGAATGCCGTCGGTTAAGAGTCTTAAACCGGGTCACAGGAGATCCTCTTCCACCGGAACGCCGTTGATCTTCTCCGGCTCTAGCTTCTACTCGGCGACGACGAGCGGCGCCACGTCCGCTCTCTCGCCGAGTCAAGGCTCTTTACCCGCCGGCAACATTTGCCCGTCGGGTCGGATCTTGAAAACCGGTATGGCGACTCGGAGCTCGACCAGGACGGAGACTCTCTGCACAGGAACGGGTAACTACGGACACGGAAACGTCGTGAGAAGCGCCGCCGGGAAGCAGAACGGTGAAAGCTCGGCGGAGGAGTTGAAGAGGTTAGGGAACGATATGTATAGAAGAGGGAACTTCTCGGAAGCTCTGTCTTTATACGACAGAGCAATCTCATTGTCACCGGAAAACGCAGCGTTTAGGAGTAACCGTGCGGCTGCTTTAACGGCGTCAGGACGGTTAGGAGACGCCGTTAGAGAGTGTCTTGAAGCTGTAAGGCTTGATCCTTCTTACTCTAGAGCTCACCAAAGACTCGCTTCACTCTATCTCAGGTAATTAATTAAATCTTTAAAGATTTTAGACTTGTGAATTGGTTTAATCTTATCTTTGTTTCGGTGTAGATTGGGAGAAGCGGAGAATGCTAGACGTCATCTTTGTTTCTCCGGTCAGTGTCCGGATCAAGCTGATCTCCAACGGCTGCAGACGCTGGAGAAGAATCTCCGGCGATGCTGGGAGGCTAGGAAGATCGGAGATTGGAGAACGGTGGTCAAAGAAACTGATGCTGCTATTGCTAACGGAGCTGACTCGTCTCCTCAGGTCAGAGATCACCGACAAAACATAAACTAGTTTTTGTAATGATTTTAACTAACAGTAAGGTTTTTACAGCTTGTAGCTTGTAAAGCTGAAGCCTTATTGCGTCTTAACCAAATAGAAGATTCAGATTTTTGTGTATCTTGCGTTCCAAGAAATGATCATTACCACTCTCAACCACAAGCTAAACTCTTTGGTATGGTCGCTGAGGCTTATGTCCTCTGTATCCAAGCTCAAGTTGATATGGCATTAGGAAGGTAAGCTTTTGATAATACTTGTTTAGTTTTATTTGCAGTGAGTAAAGATGATAGGTTTGTTGCAGATTTGAGAACGGTATTGTAAAGGCAGAGAAAGCTGCGATGATTGATCAGACCAATCCTGAGCTTGTGTCGGTTTTAAGTAATGTTAAGATGGTTGTGAAGGCACGTACACGTGGTAATGAGCTGTTCACTTCGGGGAGATACTCTGAAGCGAGTTTAGCTTATGGAGACGGGCTTAAACACGATGGTTCCAACTCGGTTTTGTATTGTAACAGAGCAGCGTGTTGGTATAAGCTCGGTTTGTGGGAGAAGTCAGTTGAAGACTGTAACCAAGCGCTCAAGATCCATCCTAGTTACATCAAGGCACTTCTAAGAAGAGCTGCTTCATATGGAAGGGTGAGATTAGAAGTCTAGTTTGGTCAGTGATTATAAGTGTGTTTTTTGAATGACAATGTTTGTTTGAAATGTTAGCTTGGTCGATGGGAAGATGCGGTTAGAGATTATGAGTTTGTGAGAAGGGAACTTCCGGGAGATGGTGAAGTCGCAGAGTCTTTAGAGAAGGCGAAAACCGCGGTGATGACCAGAAGTCAAGAATCTAAAAGCTTAGGGTTCAATAACGAAGTTGAAGCGGTTTCTACTTTGGATAAGTTCAAGAACGTTGTCTCACTTCCCGGTAAGTTTAAAACATTAGACTCTAATTTGTCTGAAAGGTTTGAGATTTTGCTCAAAAGTGGAAATATGTTTTCTTTCAGGTGTCTCTGTGTTTCATTTCAAATCATCATCAAACCGACAATGCGAAGAGATCTCTCCCTTCATTAACACTTTATGCCTCCGGTATCCATTAGTACATTTCTTCATGGTAACACCACTCTCCAAAAATGCATATTTAATATCACAGTTTCTTGTAAATTCAGATGTTTTTAACTGAGGAAATGAAACGTTATATTAGGTGGATGTGGAGGAGAGCTTGGCGTTGGTGAAAGCAGAGAGTATCAGGAAAGTTCCAACGTTTAAGATGTACAAGAATGGAGACAGGGTTAAGGAGATGATATGTCCGAGCCACCAGTTTCTTGAAGACTCTATANTTTAATATCACAGTTTCTTGTAAATTCAGATGTTTTTAACTGAGGAAATGAAACGTTATATTAGGTGGATGTGGAGGAGAGCTTGGCGTTGGTGAAAGCAGAGAGTATCAGGAAAGTTCCAACGTTTAAGATGTACAAGAATGGAGACAGGGTTAAGGAGATGATATGTCCGAGCCACCAGTTTCTTGAAGACTCTATAAAGCACTTCCTCTTGTAATACGAAAGCCTATCATCATTCTCTGCTTCCCTATAATATGATCCTAAGATCCTATTTTAAAGACTTAAGAGAAGAGCTATTCTATCATTCAACAAATTGTTCATTCTTTTTTATTCTATATACATTTATGTGGTTTGACTCTGCTTGCTTTGAACGAGTAAAGTGTTCAGAAGTATTCAAGATATGCAAGGCTTCATTATCAATTCACGTTTGGCTTGTGTTATATATATAATATGCTACATTCTCTTTTAACCATATATATAAAAGAAACTGAACAGAGATATTCAACCATTGAGAGCGTGAACTAGAGATTACATAGCAGAGATTTTAGGGAATAATCTCAAATCCATGAAACAATGAGTCATTATTTGCACTCTTAGTAGGTAACAATCTCTACAACCATTCACTTGAGTTCAAATCCATGAAACAATGAGCCATTTGCATTCTTAGTTATTGTTTTTGTAAATTAATAACAGACCAGATTTTTTTTTAAAGTCATTTACTTCTTTTTATACATCAAATAACAATAAGAAAAGCGTACATAGATTTATCACATTCGTAGAATAATAGTACATAGCAGAGAATTTAGGGAATAGTACATAGACGGTTTAGACGATAAATTAAAATGCTTAACCGGTATTCTGCATACCCGCTGCTATACCCTTCATGGTGAGGATAACAGTGTCTTCAAGACCAGGTGCATACTCGCTCTTAGGATTCAGCTTAACCAGCTCAGCCGCTGGTTTACTAGACTCCATGTAGTCTTTAGACAAGTGTGGCCTAACTTTAACATGGAAGCTCGGGTCACGTATCTGCTTGAGAGTATAGGCTTGGCACACGTTCAGTGTCGTGATGTATGGGTCACGTAGCTGCAGCCTTTGCCTCAAGTATGGATCACCTTCAAGAATGTCCTTGTGGAAATATATGAAATAAGAAAANCTGGTTTACTAGACTCCATGTAGTCTTTAGACAAGTGTGGCCTAACTTTAACATGGAAGCTCGGGTCACGTATCTGCTTGAGAGTATAGGCTTGGCACACGTTCAGTGTCGTGATGTATGGGTCACGTAGCTGCAGCCTTTGCCTCAAGTATGGATCACCTTCAAGAATGTCCTTGTGGAAATATATGAAATAAGAAAACTATATTGGGAATATCATAGTATTCATTTGGGGTGGTATTATATTGAATCTTATAATATTTCTTGAACAAAAGGTAATTATATGTATATATATATATATTTTCTGAACTGATTTAAATTAAATTTACATTTAGAAATTTATGTTCATAATAAATTTAGACATAAAATCATATACCATTTTATCATCTCGTCAAACTATCTCACATCAGAATTTATTCTGTGTATATTCCAATTGACCTCATGCTGCTATTGTACTAGACTATTTATATAATCATGGGCTATTATTATAATTTACGATGGACCTTTTGAAGCCCATCATAGTTTTAGATTTCTTCTTCTGCACGCAAGACTGCCGACGGAATTTTTTCAGAACTAAAGCAACGATCTGATCTCTCCCGTAAACGTCTCCACTTTTCATTAATTTGTTTGTAACTCAGCGTGATTATACCACTCCTCCCACTCTAAAGTATTAAATCGATCTCTTGGCATCTCACAGTAACTACGTTGAAGCTTTAAGTATAAATATCCGACCTTCCAATGATGTACATAGAAACTCAAATGAGATCCAGAAACACATTTTGTTCTAGCAACCTATTTCAACGATGGCGTCTTAAAAAATATATAGGAAATACACCAGATCATAAGAAAAACTAAGTGGCGATTAACATATGAGAAGTTGAATGTGATGTACAAATCTAAGAGCAGTGCAATCTTTTTGGACCCTACTTGTTCGAGAAAAAATACTAACGGCAGAAAATCCACCTTCTCGCGATCTTACTCCCATATCGAATTCCACTTATTTTTCATTTGTAATAACTTATAAATTTTATTTTCCTTTACTTGTCCTAACGAAAGAGAAAATAGAACAATATATCGAGTAATCAAGAATGATTTAAAAACTCAAATAAGCAAAATATTTTCCACGTGCAAGGAACGAGAATATTAGACCAATAATAAGTTTATACCCACATTTTTTTCTAAAGAACATTGGCTTTGGGGAATCATTCGCTCGTTGTTTAAAGTTCCGTCAATGATATGAATTGTAGGTATATTATTAGCTGTGAAGTACTTTCGATGTCCTTCAAAGTCTAAAGTAAAAGTGTGGAAAAGAAAACATTTTGTTCATTCTGTTACAATCTGATAATATTTCCATGGGGGACAAAACTTTGATAGATATCGTAATAGTACATCCTGATCAAGTCATCATTCTTCAAAGTGTAATCCCTTTCTCCTCTTTATTTTTAGTTTTTAGTGTTTCGTCTCATAGCAAACGTATTAAGTTTAGCAGTGTGTTAGAGGAGTGAAACATTTTCGTCCTAATATCAGTTTAAAGATGCGATGAAGCACAAATTTTGTGAAAGATGACATGAAATTACCACCGTAAAAATGACAAACTACTAATGGTAATTTGATATAGGAGAAATATCAGTTTATGTGTTGAATTTTTCGGTTGTCGACATATAATATCGAATCTTAGCATGGTTGCATATGTTAAGTCCGAATAAAAACAAATAATATCAAATCTTCTCATCGTACCGTGGTCGATTAATAGTTACAAAATATTTATCAATAGTATATATTAAATCGTCCCTCAATAGTATATATTAAATCGGCCAATTTATTTCAAAAGTTTCTTTAGTCTAATACTTTTATCCTATAGAAATTAAAATCCATATACTTCTTAATACATCATTTTTAAAAGAAACCATTCCCTATGCAAAGAGTAAAGTTGCCATATAACTCCAAAGGACCCTATTCCGCAAAGAGTACGAATACTTGACTTACAAATTAAGCTTGCATATTAAAAATATAATCCCCAAAATGCCAGTGTTCATTGAACGAGCACTTGTTTTAAGATAAAACTGTATTACCGTAACTTATTTATACACAGTTTAAGTCAGTTAATTTTATAAGCATGGACATATAAGAGCGTGGTGTATTTTCAGTGGATTACTATACATAATGCAAACACATAGTCGCCTTTATATGTCGACGCATGTGTGATTAATCACCTGTACATGTTTATGATGTGTGTATGAGTTTTTGTGACCGGCAAGATGAGTAAGGATGAGATAATGCGTGCCCTACGAATCTTAATCTTCTCACTTTGTAAAGCAAAAAGGAAGGAAAGAAAATAAATTATAGTTGCAAGCCACTTACTCACTGTACGCTTTCGTGGTTATGCTCCTTGAGTTATCCATTAAACTTTAAAAAGATTTTATAACTGACGTTAACAATATTTTAACATACAAAGTTGTATCTGCATTAGCAATATCAAAATCTTTTCTGTTACTTTTTTTTAGTAACAGTGACTGAGAAATTAGTTCCTTAACGAGAACAAAAAGTCTATTCATATGAGACATTTTTCAATTAAATCATTTCACCTTCTTTGTTGGATCTGTTATACATTTTGTACACGTCATAGATCATTATGTAAAGTTTTTTTTTTTTTTCATTATGTAAAGTTATGCTATGGAAAACAGTTTTGTTTATTTCGTATTTGACAAAGGGCTTTTTTAGTAGTTGTTTATTTAGTAGCTAGTTGTTGCTGATTTTATGTTACCTAATTACTCTCATTAGTTAACCTTTTAAGATTATACTTTAAAAGACAAATTCATCATATTTATCTTTTCATACGAGTTATAACTTTTGAAATAGGTAGGTAAAGTTTAGGTTTCCTCCTCTTTTTTCGTCCAGCAACACATCTATTACCAAACGAAATAAGAAGGTGTAGAGACAAAGGAGTTTGATAATTATTCTTGTGGAAAAGAAGTAAAGGATGTTAGATGCATGCATCTATTATCTATAAGGAGCAAAGGCAGATTTATATTTAATATGCAATAAAAGTGGGAACGTGAGGGAGAGAGTGAGAGGTTGATTTTGACTCTTACGTTTTTGCTATATATCCGTATATATGATCTTCAGAACCAAAATTTGTTGCACCGTTCCACCATGTCCAATGGTTATTTTGACTATATCATTAAGCAACGCTTTTTAAATATGCTGAAATATATAAAACTGCGTCAACCATAGTAGATTAATATATACACAGTGAAAGTGGATACATGTATTCGTACTTGCCATATTCGAAAATCAAGATTTCCAAACCTTTTGAGTCGGATAATGAATACTACTTTTTCATTAATTATATAATCAGAAGTGAATCTTGATTATCAAGTAGTCTCAGGACATTATACTACACGCAACTAGGGTTAATTAAGGCTTTTCCAAACATTAGTGCACTGTGCACATGATAATACATTACAATATTCGGAGACTTAAAAATGGATAAACAAAAAAAGAATGGATAAACAAAAAAAGAATGGATAAACATGCCAATATGCCATACTTTCAATCTTTTCGTTAACCAAAGATAATATAATACAAAACAATAATAGATAATGGTATTTGAAGATCATTTGCCCATCAAGGATAAGACTCGACCTATATTATGATGCTTTGTTATCAAACGCCCTAATTTTCTAATAATCATTCCAAAAGACATTAATTCAAGGTCTACTAACTAACTACCTATATGATGCAAATTAGCTAGCGAATCATCATCAAATATAATTAATGGCGTCTCAAGATTTTTGTTCATTCTTTTTTCTTAAGGTTTCTCCAAACAATAGTGCACACGGTAGTACATCACAATAGTCCCAGACTTTTTAAAATGGATAAACATTACACACCCTAAATCTTTTCTTTAATAAAAGATAATAGCATCCAAGACAATAATATTATTATTTCAAGATCATTTGCCCATCCCTAGGTGGTTAGAACAGAATAAGACTTGACCTATATTATGCTTTGTTATCCAAACTTCCTAATTTTCTAATAATCAATTCAAAAGACATCAGTTCAAGGTATTACTAACTCACTGGCTATGATGACCAAAAAGTCAATTTAAATCGTTCATCAAAGATAACTAATGGCGTCTCAAGATTTTTGTTCATCAGATTTGATTTGATATCTCTGTCTACTATTAATTCATCATGAATAAAAATGTAAGATCACAGACCAACGTACGCGTCACAAATATCCAACACCCAATCGAATACCAAACAAAGAAAGAAAAAAAAAATATGAATTATCTATTTTAAGATACCTTTGCCTTTAACACACAACAAAGAGACATTTATCTAAAAATAACAATTTCAAAAAAAAAAAGACACAGAGTAAATGTCATTATCGCCACGTGGCACCTGTCCTCCCGACACAAACCTCTTCTTCACTAAAATCTTGAAGTTAACTAAAAAAAAAACACATCCAAGATTTGCTTTCTCTTCTCCTCTCCTCTCCTCTCCCATGGCTTCCTCCTCCACCACAACCACACTCTCCGACCTCCCTGACGTCATCTTATCCAACATCACCGCTCTCGTCACCGACACACGAGCTCGCAACTCCCTCTCCCTCGTCTCCCGAAAATTCCTCGCCCTCGAGAGATCAACGCGCTCTCACCTCACTCTCCGCGGCAACGCGCGTGATCTCCACCTCCTCCCCGGCTGTTTCAGATCCATCTCTCACCTCGATCTCTCCTTCCTCTCCCCGTGGGGCCACTCTCTCCTCTCCTCTCTCCCCATTGATCACCAAAACCTCCTCGCTCTCCGTCTCCGCCTCTGCTTCCCCTCCGTCTCCTCCCTCTCCGTCTACGCACGCTCCCCCTCCTCCCTCGAGCTTCTCCTCCCTCAGTGGCCGAGGATTCGCCACGTCAAGCTCGTACGCTGGCACCAGAGAGCTTCTGAGATCCCTCTAGGCGGCGACTTCGTATCCATCTTCGAGCACTGTGGCGGCTTCCTCGAGTCTTTAGATCTCTCTGATTTTTACCACTGGACGGAAGACTTACCTCCCGTTCTCCTCCGTTACGCTGACGTGGCGGGTAAGCTTACTCGTTTGAATCTATTAACGGCGTCGTTTAACGAAGGGTACAAGTCTAGTGAGATAGTTGATATCACTAAAGCTTGTCCTAATCTCAGAGACTTCCGTGTAGCTTGCACTTTTGATTCACGTTACTTCGAGTTTGTAGGTGACGAGACTCTCTCCGCTGTGTCAACCAACTGTCCTAAACTAAAAGTTCTCCACATGGTTGACACGGTGGCGGCACTAACGAGTCCTAGAGCGGTTCCAGGTAACGATGGTGGAGACTCAGCTGTCACGGTGGGGACATTAGTTGAGGTTTTCTCAGGTTTACCGTGTCTTGAGGAGCTTGTGCTTGACGTAGGGAAGAACGTGAAGCAGAGTGGTGTGGCGTTAGAGGCATTGAACTCGAAGTGCAAGAAGTTGAGAGCTTTGAAGTTAGGACAGTTCCAAAGTGTTTGCTCTGCTACAGAGTGGCGGCTTGACGGTGTAGCGTTATGCGGAGGGTTACAGTGTTTGTCGATTAAAAACTCTTGTGATTTGAGTGATATGGGTTTGGTGGCTATAGGGAGAGGTTGTTGTAAGCTGAGTAAGTTTGAGATTCAAGGGTGTGAGAATGTGACAGTGAAGGGAATAAGGAGTATGGTTACTCTTCTGAGGAAGACTTTGACTGATGTTAGAATCTCTTGCTGTAAGAATCTAGATGCAGCAGCTTCTTTAAAGGCTGTTGAGCCTATCTATGATCGGATCAAGAAACTGCATGTTGATTGTGTGTGGTCTAGTTTAGAGGAGGAAGGAGGTGTGGAGGAGACTAACCATGATGATGATGATGATGATAACTACGAGAGGAGTCAGAAGAGGTGCAAGTATTCATCGGAGGAAGAAGTGAATGGGTTCTGTTCTGAAGACAGAGTGTGGGAGAAGCTAGAGTATCTGTCTCTATGGATCAATGTTGGTGAGTTTCTAACACCATTACCTATGACAGGACTAGAAGACTGTCCAAACTTGGAAGAGATTAGGATCAAGATAGAAGGAGACTGCAGAGGCAAACGCAAGCCATCTGAGCCGGAGCTAGGCTTAAGCTGTCTTGCTCTTTATCCAAAGCTTTCCAAGATGCAACTAGACTGCGGTGACACAATCGGTTACGCGTTAACCGCACCTCCCATGCAGATGGATCTAAGCTTGTGGGAAAGGTTCTTCTTGACTGGAATTGGTAACTTGAGCTTGAGCGAGCTAGATTATTGGCCGCCACAGGATAGAGATGTTAACCAGAGGAGTCTTTCGCTTCCTGGTGCAGGTCTGTTACAAGAATGCTTAACTCTGAGGAAACTTTTCATCCACGGAACAGCTCATGAGCATTTCATGAATTTTTTGTTGAGGATCCCTAACTTAAGGGATGTGCAGCTTAGAGAAGACTATTATCCAGCGCCTGAGAATGATATGAGTACAGAGATGAGAGTTGGTTCTTGTAGTAGATTTGAGGATCAGTTGAACAGCCGTGACATCATTGACTGATATACTAAACAGTGAGTTACTACTACACACCATTATTACATTTGGTTTGGTTATACTTTGAATGTTATGTTTGTAAGAAAAACGAAGATCAAAGATGTATATACAATTGCAATGATGAATGAATTGTTATAAACTGAATGAAAATATCACAAGATTCAGCTAAAATGAAACAATAAACTTTTATCCTGTAAAGATAGGAAGTGCCACTATAAATCTTTTGCAATACTAATGAAACCGGAGACAACCTTATGGCAAATCAGTATGTACAATCCCGTTTGCAATAATATAAAAAGATCCCAAATCTAAGAATAGGGTGATATCAAATAAAAATCCAAACCTGCTTCACAAATTACGTAGAGGAATCAAGAGAGAGAGATAACATCGTACAAATAAATCAACTTCTAATAACAGGACCTCTGTACTGAACTCGTCGTATGACAAAATCATCAGGCGGTTGATATTCCTCCAGCCAGGTCACGTCTGATACCACTTCACCCTCCACTTCTACTTCACCTGCTCCGTTTCACATTGCAAAGTAAATGAAAGCCAGTCTATCTCACGAATTGTTGTGTTCTGTACTGTTTTAGATTGAAACAACCTATCTATATTTAGATGAGGACGTGTTTCGAGAGCTTAGAGTATTACCGGGTAAGTCTTCCCTTCTGGATTTCCGGAAGTAAGTACAATGTCGATCATGGTCTGAAGAGTAAGGTGGAGCTAAGATATCAATAATAGCACAATGGGTGATGGCTTTAAAACAATGAATGTTGCCACCGCTCTTCGGATATAGCGTGGTAGCTTGGCTTGGAGCCGTCATCTCAGTATCCTTAACCAGTTTAGCGGGTCTTGCCGCTGCTAATGAATTAAGAGTTTACAATCTAGACCAGGCAGAGTGATTGGTAAAAAAAATGACGCTAGAGAAGACGACGGTTATACCTTGGGATGGATCTTCTGGTTCGGTCGGGTAAGGCTCTATCCAGTCATATGACTTCACATGCATTGAACCATATATGAGCTTGCTTACCACAGTCATTCCTGGATGGTTATGTAGTGGTATCATAGAGGAAGGTGGCATACAGAAAATTCCAATCTGTTTTGACAGACAAAACGAACTAAGTGAGAGATAGTGATAGTAGCAGTATAATGAAGACACAACATCAGTTAGAGACACTCAGAATATGGCTCAAACTGTGGTTAATCATACTTTCTAGATCATTTGTCATAGGCTTTTTTGCAGACTTGAGGCTCATGGCTTGAATGGTTGGTTTCCTGAGATTCTCTCAAGGACCAATGTATGGATGCTCCCTTATTTCCCTAATTGTGAATATGCGAAAAAAGCGAATATAAAATGTCAACTAAATGGTCTCAGGAGGATTGGCTATTTAGCGTTTATTTCTGGCCTTTTGATCTCTAATGAGCGTTTGGTTTTGACACATAAGCATATTCCTATTTAAACCTAGGAATTAGAATCGGGCTCCTATGCTATGTTTTACCTAAACCATCCTATATTAGATCACAAAAAGATACACACGCTATCCACATTTGACTATCGTCTAGTAGCCATAAGTAAGCTTTAGCACTAATCAATCAGACATAGTTTTGTCAAAAAAAAGTATGCTTACAGAGAAACTGCCACACTCATGCAAATGATAATACTTTATTTCTGGAGGCGACTGCTGATTTCCATTGAGAGAACCACCAGACCTGGTTCGTGCTAATTGAGCTTCCTGCTCGATTCCAACATCAGATGGCTTGATTTTCTCTGAAACAGTAGTTTAAAAATAAAGATGTAAGTGCAACAGGGGACCACTGACATTCAAAACAAGAAAACATAAAGTAAGATAAAAAATGATTAATGCAACCAACACCTCAACTAATACAATCATAGAAGAATAATCAAGTAAATGTTTAAACATCATTAACAAAGGATAACAATGATGAGACAAGCAGCAAGAGAATGAGAAAATGAAAAAGTAGTGCAGAAAATGTAATAATATATATACCCAAGACATTGCGAACTTTGTCAAGACTGTCCTCTGAGATTGGTCCGTCTGAAGAGAATGAGGCCTTGCAAGTATTATAAAGCCTCTGAGCAAAATAAGGCATGATCTAAATCCAAATCCTTCCTAATTCTCACCCACACGACAAGCTATGTCCCCCTTTTTGTCAAGAAAAAAAGGGCTCAAACTTGTGAATGGATAACAGAGGAAGAAAGAGAGATGATGATACTAAAATTTGATGGTAAATATCACTGGTACATCATAAAAGCATCTCTCCCTGAAACAAAGAAGAAGGAAAACAAAAAACAGTCTCAATGTTCTTTTTTAAAAATAGTATATCATATGCTAATTATCTCAAAACTATCATCTATCTCAATAAAAAAAATTAAAACAGAGGGATTCATAAACGCTAAATCATGACACCACATTGATTGTGTCACTGAAACTGAATCTAATCGTAATTATAGAGCTCAGAGCTTCAGAAATGCTCGGCATCTAATCGAATTGAGCTAAATCTAGGATTCAACATACAGATTCCAAACAGTAAGACATTGCAATCCGATTCAATACAGATTTATCATCAAATCAAATCGGAGATTCGTTTTCTCAGGTAAACAAACAGTAAGACTCGACTCCGAGTTAAATCGGAGAAAAAAAACGGCAGAGGAGTTTGAGAAGAAGAACCTGAACAGAGCACTCGCGTAAGATCCGGAAGGAATCGGGTGCAAGTTGAAGACAGACGACGAAGAAGAAGAGATGCAGGAAGAGTAGTTATTATTATTATTATTATTATTTTTTTTTTATTCTAACATAAATAATAATTAAAATAAATATATTTTTTCAATAAGGTTGTTGCCCCAGATATTTATCACTTCTCTCAAGTGGGATCCTGAATTTACGTAACTACCCCCTTAACATTCACCTAATTTAACTAACCTCTTCTCTGTATAAGCAGCTCTTGAGAGCAAGAAACGAACGAACCCTAAGATTGATTTCTAAATTCACAAGGAGACGAAAGCAAGCATGGCAGGAACTGGACCGATGACTCAGGACTGGGAGCCGGTGGTGATCCGTAAGAGAGCCCCTAACTCTGCCGCCAAACGCGACGAGAAAACTGTCAACGCCGCTCGTCGTTCCGGCGCCGATATCGAAACCGTCCGAAAATGTTCGCTCTCTCAATCTCCTTTCTTAATTCATGAGAGGCAGATTGTGATTCATAGGCTCTCTGGAATCAAATTAGAATAGATTTGGTATTTTGGATTGTGATTTTGTTCTCGATTTAGGGTTGATGTTCTTTATTTAATTGAAGAAATTATTCGCTTTAATTGGATATGTGATACCAATTTGGTTATCAGATTGATATTTTTATTCTTTGAATGTGAAATTCAAGATGTGGATTCCATCTAACTGTGGATCTTTCTTTTGTGGTGTTGTGTTGTGTATTAGACAATGCTGGAACCAACAAGGCAGCATCAAGCAGCACTTCACTCAACACAAAGACGCTTGATGACGACACTGAGAACCTTACTCGTAATCTCTCTCTCATCACTTTTACCTGATACTTAGTTTTTGATTTCACTAGTTGCAAGGAAACCGTAGTGTTTCTCATTTCTTCATTCATAGCGTGTTTGAGGTCTATTAATGTTTATGTGATAACGAATTGATTTGGAATCATTAAGACTCTTGTGGCCTCTGATGGTTATAGCAGAGAAGTTTTATAATTCATTTGATGGTAAAGCTGGCATGTAATGAGGTTTTCTTTATTACCATTGTGATTCCAGATGAGCGTGTGCCTACGGAGCTTAAGAAAGCTATTATGCAAGCCCGCACTGAGAAGAAGCTAACTCAATCCCAACTTGCTCAAGTATTTTTACTCCCTTCTCGATCTCTTATTATTTTTTACCTTAACAACTTACGAAAATGAGCTAAAGATTGTTTGTTTGTTTCTTTCTGTAGATCATCAATGAGAAGCCACAAGTGATCCAAGAGTACGAGTCTGGTAAAGCTATCCCCAACCAGCAGATCCTTTCTAAGCTAGAGAGAGCTCTTGGTGCTAAGCTTCGTGGTAAGAAGTGATCATCAAGTCCTGAAAGATGAACAAATCTTATTCGCTCTTTCACTTTTCTTAATGACTATGTTCATGTAATGTCGTCAACTCTGCCAAGGGTTATCTTTTGTCATGTAAGAAAGATAAACCTTTTAAACTTTTGCTTAATCATTTACTCTTTTTCTAAACATATATTATAAAAATAACACACAGTTTGACGTATTATAAGAGAAGTGCTCATAGACCCTTGAGGTTGAAGATTATACCTCCAAAACCACCATGATGCAGGCTTGTACCGGTTTAGTAGAGTGTGTCAGTATTAGTCTTTGGAAACTTTGTTGTTTGGTCGATGGTGTAGATCAAGTTAATTAGATCAAGTTAATTAGATCAAGTTGTAAGGGTTTAGCTTGCCAAAAATGTAGGAGATTCTAAAGCATTGTTTAGTCTGATTGTTTTTCTAATCAGTTAATTTTTTTTTAATTATGATGGTACATTCATGCGGTGTGTATTACAACAATTTCAAGTCCAGTGCTTAAGCGGTTCTTTTTTTTTTAACACTTAGAAATTCACAAACCATTGATCCCATCCAAAAAATAGTCAACCTTTAAGCCAAACACCCCAACTAAAAAGGGGGAGAGGCTTCCTCGCTCTAAAAGAACTCCGCCATCCAAACTGGTGCAGCTACATAAGGCTGATCTTAATTAGCCTCCCTTTTTTTTCTCACGCAAATACTTCATATTAAAGAAAGGGTCCAGGCCCAAAATAATAAAACGTTAGCCCACTAAGGGGCGCGTTACAGAAAGACGAAGAGCCGGTTTGGCTAGAGTCTGAAAAGGAGTTATCACGTTTGTATGCTGATAATAAATATTTTTTTTTTTTGGCTAAAGATGCATAGTTTTATGGATTATTCTTTTAATTCTTTTCTCTCGAAACATACTTTCAACCTCTCTCTCAAAAAAAAAAAGTTAAAACAAATAACTAGGAAATATTAACATTGTAGTTTGCCACCGGACAACGAATAAGCCTCGACTTTTTCGAATAAATACAATTTGGTGATGGTAGTAAAGTAGAAATAAACATAAATTTATGGCATCGTTATTAGTTAGTTATCTAGAAAAATATTAGCAGTTTCAAAGATCATGAGATAGTGGACGTAGTTGAGAAATATTAGGGATTATTCTATTTTATATCGAAAACAATAAACAGAATTATGAAACTGTTTCGCATTTAAATTCTCTATTTACTTTTAAAAAAAAGATTAAGAGTCATACGCTTTGTACCTCTGCCCTTTAATGGGCTTTTATAAATCTAACGGGTTGACAAAAAAATAAGAATGAATTTGCGTGAGATTATGTAAAATTGATCGTTGATCGGAAAATACAGAGAAAAAAAAAGGAGAAATGAGGTGAAGTAGATGAGCCTTGCCGGAATAATATTGCCGGTCATTGAAGCCTTCTGCTACATTTGTTTGTTTTATTGTCAGTCATCTTTAAGGCATCGATGACTTCTCTTTGGCTTTCAGGTTTTGTTTGCTTTGAAGACTGTTTGATGATTATCTTTCTATGTTATGTTGTGTAAACGGTTTTAAATATAGAAATGGGTGCAGCAATGGCGTTGTATGTCAACCAAGCATCAGTTTGAATTAGGCATGTTCAATCTGGTGTTCGGACCGGTTTCGGTTCGGTTATTTTCGGTTTTCGGTTATTCGGTTTATAAAAATTAGCTACCATATTGAAACCATATTTAATTTGGTTTGGTTCGGTATTTATACTACCGGTTTATTCGGTTTTATACCAAATAACATTATTATTTGATTTGATTTCATATTATATGAATTTAAAAAAAAATATTGTCAAAACTATCATTTATTAAAATAATCCTAGGTGTTCATAAATACAAAAATCTGAAATTAACAACAAACAAAACGACCAACGATTCAGTTTTGTACAACTTTTCTTATTTTCTATTTGTTCTTCCAAATAAATTACATGATACAATCTAATTTCACAAAATCTTACAACATGCAAAATAAAATCAAATTTAGATAATAGTTGAAGAAAATAAAATAAAATTATTAAGATATATCTTCACAAGGAATAAAAAAGTAAAAAAAAAGACTATTCCAAGAAAATATATGGTTATATAATGTATATATTTATATATTTTTTCTTTGATCGGTTTTGTTTGGTTTATTTGGTTTAATCGGTTATAAACCTAACTATATCCAAATCCTACGGTTTTTATAAAATCATATCCATTCAGTTTATATGGTATATACCAAATCCAAACAATATTGTCTATTTCGGTTCGGTTCGGTACGGTTTAGTATTACCATATTGAACAGCCCTAGTTTGAATGGATTTTTTTTTACAAAAAAAAAGAAAGAGGGGAAGTAGAGGAGAGAGTAATCCTTACATAAATATGATAAGAAATTATGATAGGGATAGAAAGATAATAAAAAGTTTTAGCAGTTTCAATATCTACAAAATATATATATAAAAAATATATAAATTAGACCCAAAACAAAACGTATGATACACATAATCGCAAAATAAGACAATGACCTCAACATATTACAACTATTGGTCCCTAAAGATCTTGATTACAACTATTAGTAATGTTCACAGAGATTGTGAAGAATGAACTCTTTTGCTCATTTGTAAAAGAAAAAATGTTCTCTAACTAACTGCTGTTGAAAGTAGATAAAGCAGCTCGTAAAGCTGAGTAAGTATTAATGTTTTTTAATCAATATGCTATATAGCAATCATGCATGTTTCTAACCGTAGTAAATATTACTATGTTTTGGTAACACACCCACTAACAATAAGCAAAGAAACAAACCAAAATGAAATCAATTTTCGGTCAATTACAAATTTTGTGCAATTATCTCAACTTATTATGTGTCTCCATTTATTTATAAAAATAAAATCAAATGTCAATTTTTTTTTTGTGGATCTAGTTTTTAATTTTTAATTTTTTTTAATTTTAATAACATGCATTATAAATATCTGAGTTACATTGAAAAATAGTGAAAACACATACGAATATTATTAGGCTACAAAATGTTGTAGTTTTAGTAAGTTTAGAAAGTGAGAAACAATAAATTTTTTAAACGAATAACAAAATTTATATGACTGATTTTCTTCTGCATAATATGCTAGTGTTGATTGTTAACACCAAATATTAAACCTAAACCAGTTGTTATCTAAGGTTTGATATATTAGTTTTATCTCTTGAAATGTGATTAGGACATGAAAACCTGACTTATCAATTCCAGTTACAAAGTTATTGACCTAGTGTGGAAGCCATTTTGGTAAAATAGCTTGATTAAGGCTCTTTAACTAATGTTTTATCCTAATCCAAAAATATGATTTATTAACAATTACGTTACTGGAAAAAAAACTTCAACATCATATAAACATTAGAGTTTATTGTTTCTCTAATCCAGTTATAAAATTATTGACTTAGTTTTGTAAAAATGTATTTTCCAACATCTGAACGGCACCATTTGATACCTTTTGTCTATGATCTTCAAGAGATTCAGAGGCCTAATCTCAATAAAAATGACAAAGCCCACCTACAGTGAGATTTCTTGGCGAAGCAAATTGGTGTTTCTACGGTGATCGAGACGACGAATCTCATAGTACTTGCATCTGTTGGCGATTTCAACCTAATCTTGACTCAACTGTATACATTTTTCGTATATGGAAAATCAGCGAATAGCTTAGCTGAGAGATATGGCTCTGATCGATGTGGCGA